CGGGGAGGGGAAACGTATCGGAAAACTCGTGTGTGCTTCGCTCGTACCCTGACGAAACTCTCTGGACCGTGGCGGCCGCGAGCACCTGAAACTTCCCCTAGGCACGGCGCCACGCCACGCTCAGCCGCCCCCGGAGAAGGGTTGCCACCTCAACCTCAAACCAACCAACGCCAAGCCAGGCAGCTGCACCCAAAGCAGTGTGCGTGTCGCCGAGCGCGGGGCTGGGGCGGCGCACTCACTCCACTCCACAATGCCAATCCAGCTGTGTGTTTGCTGGAGGCCTCCTGTCCTCGCGGCGGTGCGGGCTGCGCCGGGCCGTGCTCACTCGGCTCCCGGAATACGATTGATTGGAGCCTGCCAAGGCGGATGCACACCGGCTCCGCGCCGCTCTGCGACAACATCCAGCGGCTGCCTCCACAAACAAAGTCGTTCCGCCCGCGGGCTGCACTTACCTCCTGTTCGCTGTCCTCAGGAGCGGCGGGCGGGGGTGAGGGGCGCGGCTGGGCGGGGCGCTGAGGGGACTTCCCTACGTTCCGCTGGGGGACGCGCGCGCGCTGCTACCTGCCCGGCGACACCATCCCCGCCCTCAGGCTGCCCGCCGGCGGCACGCTCATCCGGCTGCACAGGATGCCGACGACACGTTGTTATTGGAGTCCGCGACCGGCTCTCTGCTTTCTGTCTCTGTCTCTCTGGGTCTCGCCCGGCTTGCTCCTCGCCCGCAGGCCCGCGGCCCCGAGCCCGCTCGGCCCCGCTCGGCCCCGCTCGGCCCCGCTGCTGGTGGTGAGCCGCCGTGAGCCCCGTGAGGCGGTGGTGTACGGCGGTGAGCGAGCGTTGTGTATTTCCGCGGATCTCGGTTGGCCGAGTGCTTGCCGACTCGCTGGTTGGTCGCGGACTGACGGCGCACAGTCTCGTGTCGGGCTCGGGGCCCTCCCGCCTCGCCCTCCCGCCCTCCCGCGCGCCGGGGTCCCACCCCCAGCCCCCACCACCCCTCCGGCGCGCGCCGCTCCCGCGGGGCCCCGCAGCTTCCATCCGAGGCGCGAGGAGGACGGTGCCGAGCCCCGAGGCACCCCGTCGACACCAGCCCCCTCCCTGGCTTTGAAGCGCGAGCTGGCGCGAGCCCGCGGCCCTGCCTCAAGGCAGGGGTTGGTGTGCTGCGGAGCGGTCCGAGAGCAGCGGCGGTTGCAAGGAGTTTAGCAGGGGATTGTCGGGCCCTAGCCTGGCCCGTGCCCGCCCTTGCAGGACTTGTTCGCAGCCTGGCAGGGGTGACAGTCTACAGATTGCATCCTCCTGACTTCAAAGCCGCGCCCAGCTGCCCGCCCCCCGCTCGGCCCTGGACGTCCCTACCGTACCCTGCCTCCCCAGTCTTGGAGGCGGAGGCAGACCCTTGAGGCTCCGTCGGTCCCGCCCGGTCCCGCGCCGCGCCAGAGTGACAGCAACACCGAGTCCCACTGCTGCCACCGCTGCTGAAAGGGATCCCCTCCATTTCGCTTCTTTTTTCTGCATTTCAGACAGTAGGGATGTCCCACGCGACATTGCAGACAGCGCGCGAAAAACAAACTCGTGTTTTGCCCTGGAGTGGCGGGGCGTGGCGCGGGGGACACGTCGCTGCAGGCCATGCTGGGCCGCGAGGCCGCGGGGCGCCCGGGGCGTAGCTGCTGCTGCTGCTCTGGTTGTCAACCCGCTGGTCTCTATTTTTTCCCCAGCCCCGCCCCGCTCTGTCCCCCGGACTCTACCCCTGCCCCCCTGCCCGGCCCCGCCGGCCCCGGCCATTCTAATTTCCTACGGCCCGGACGGGGTTGTTCCCGGCGGAGGCTCGGGCTGCACAGCACAGCGCCAGAGGCGGCCAGCCAGAGCTCGGGCCCGAGGCCTGCAGCCCGCCGCCCCTCGGCGCGAGTGCGGTCCACGGCGCGGCCCGTGGCCAGGGCGCATCCGGCCGACCGACTCGTTCGATGGGGAGGGACAACCCTGTCTGCCACCCCTACCTCCCCTCCCCTCTCCCCCTCCGCCCTCCTCTCGCCCCTCCCCCAGCTCGTCGCGCGGCATTCACCGGGGCCGGACCCAGAGAATGAGGCAGAGTAGAGATAAACGCAGAACAGCGTGTGGTGCTAAATATAGCCAGCACGCTCGGGGAGGGTCAAAAGGTTGGGGGCAGGCAAGAGAAAGGAGCCGAGGGGGGAGAGGGGGAGAGCGCGGCGGGGGTGGCGGCCAGGGGGTGGAGCGGGAGAGCAAGGGGTGAGCAGACAGGAGTAGGGGGCACGACGAGGCAAAAGAGGCGTCCTGGGGTGTGCGGCCGTACCGGGACGACGGACCCACTTTGACACATAATAGTGAGGACTTAGATAAACAAAGTCGTTGCAAAGCCGAGACGAGACTGGGTCGGGATGGGATAGAGGGGGGAAGGGAGG